TTTCAACCTTAAACCTCTAGATCTATGTCACACCCCGCCTTACTAGCTTTGAAAAAAATCAGAGTAGAATTTTTTGTTTTTATTTTCGAAAGAACGTGCGAGCTGGGTTTTCGAAAATACTGACTTATTGCGGGATGTGGCAGATAAAACTTAAACTGAACTTGAGCTTGCTCACAGACATAATAAAACATGCAACCAAACTGTCCGCTCGCGGAATATGGAATTATACATGCATAGTCTGTACTGTCTCGCACTGTCTAGAAAAACTCGCTGGCGGAAGCATCCGAAATATGAAATACATAAACATGCATACATAAACTGAATAATACACATGATCATAAAACTAGGACATAAAAATGCTGGTAAAATATGTCCGACTCTCATGACCACGCTGCGCCACATCTGTGCTCATCCGGCACGCTCGACTCCGTCTCCTGAAAAACACAATGGGGGCGTGAGCAAACCACTATGCTCCGCAAAGACCAGTACTGAACAAAACATCATCTATAATAACATATCATGAAACATAAATATATAAGAGCTGAAACTGTAAACTGATCTCTGATTTCTGTTCTGATCTGTGGTCAAACGACCCTCGGCCTTGGCCGCTCGTGTGCACACTCCGATGGGGTATAAAGGCCTTGGCCCTCCCAAACGGACATCAGGTGGGTATAAAGGCCTTGGCCACCCAACCCGGAACTAAACTGTCTCATACATACCTCTGCCATGGTACAGATATTATCTATGATGTGACATCCAGTACATGACCCCCACCTGAAAACTTGGAATCTGATATGCAAGTGCGGATGCTGGAGTAGCAGTCGGAGGCTCGACTCTCCTTAGGCTACATAAATATTTAAGCAAAATAATGCTAAGTATAATGCTCAGAATATTTAATTATATGCTAAAATGCTTGGACTTGACTACGCGATTAAACTGGACTGGACTTGCTCGGAAAAATACTGAAATTTTCGGAACTGGACTCGGATCAGAAATCACGAATCAAAACTGACTCGAACCGCCGGTCGAACCGGCCGGTTCGCTGGCTGGCCGGACCGCCGGCTCGACTGGGCCGGGCGGTCGGGCTGGGTTCGGCTAGACCGGGCTCGGTCCCGTGCCGGGCCAGCTGGTGCCCGGGCACGGCGCTGGGCACGGCTGGTGCGACCGGGCTCGGTCCCTGGGGCCGCTGGACATGTCTTGGCGCGGACTGGCGCTGGTGGGCACGGCCAGGGGCTGCTGGCACGGCCCGGGCACGACTGGTGCCCCTCGGGTGCGTGCTGGGCACGGCCGAGGCTCGACTGAGGCGCTGTCGTGCGGCTGGGCACGGACAGGCACTGGCCAGACGCGGCTGGCACGGGGAAGGCGCGGACAGAGGCCCCTAGGGCGCTGCCGGGCCGTCCCGAGGACACTGGGCACTCGGGCATGCTGCTGGGACATGCACCGAGACCGACTGGCTCAGCTGACCCGGCTTGGATCAGCCCTGGACCTGGCACGAGGCTCTGGCACGAGACCTCGTGCGCTGGGCTTGGCACGGACGCTGCCGGGCGTCCCTGGGCACGCGGGTGTGCTGCTGGGCACATCCCGGGCCAACTGCGTGCTCGGGCGTGGCACTGGCACGACCCGAGGTCGGCTACGCATGACACGCGAGGCCATGCGTGCACTGAGGCTGGGACAGCGCGGCCAGGCGCTGTCGGGGTTGCTTGGGCGCGACGGGCGCCACGACCCCGGGTACGACGCGGACAGGCACTGCGGGCGCGCTGTCGCGGACACTGGTGCCTCGCGCACGCTGGCGCGGGCACGGACTGGCACTGGGCCGGGCACTGGCGCGCTATGTGCGCGGGCAGTGACCAAGGCCGGCCCTTGCCGGACCTCCGGCAACATTTCCGGTGACATGCAACTCCAAACATCATGATATGGTAAAATAAGCATAAATATCACATAAAACACTAGTGGACCCCGGGTCCACATGCATGATACTCGGGAGGGCCTAAATGGCACGCACGAGCAACTTAACGTCCGAACCAACATTCATAACTTACAAAACTACTCAGGGCCGAATGTTATACATGTAAATTCATGACTATAGAGGCTAAAACATGTGGCACATCTTGCATGCAATGAACTAGGGTTCGAGGGCCCATTTTAACATATTTTCGAGCATGATTTGACCAAGGAAATGAACTCCAATTATATTCAAATTTTTACACCATCAATGGCATGATATTTAAGGGTGATTTAACAAACATTTTCGACTTTAACATGCTTGGAACTAAAATTTCATTTTTAAGGCCATTAACTTCAAAAATTCGGAACTCACATATAATGACATGCATGGCTCGGTTTTTCTTCATGAAAAATCTTAAAATATCATAAAATAATTTTGGGAAAAAGTTGCCTCGGACTAACCTTCACCAAAATGCAAAAACGAAAGCTAGGGCTCAAACGGTGGCTAGCCGCGGCTTTGGGACTTAGGGTGGACTTAGGTTAGGTTTTGCTCGGGCCAATCAACTCCAAAAGGCTTAGAAAAATCTAAGGAACACTTAGATGCTGCTAGGCCTCGAGAGATTATGGCTGTAGGTGGCCGTAACTCGCTGCTCCTCCTTCCCCGGGGTGCTGGGCGCGAGCCAAGGGCTGGTTGCCTTAGATTGGGTTTTCTCTCTACTCCTCACTATATGCTCGGGCTTCAAGTGATCAAAGGTCTTAAAAGGGACTGAGGAAGGGTCCTTAAGTACTGGTTTGGGCGGAATTTGCTATGTGAGGTCAAAGGGGACCAAAACACATGACTTAGGCACCCACACTTAGGTATGGGGACTTGGGATGTCTTTGGTGGTTTTTGGCCTGACTTGCACGGTCTTAGAGACCATTTCATAGTATAATATTAGGTCACAAGGGGTCTGGTCAGGTTTGGAGGTTGCATGGGGGACAAGGACAAAGGAATCTTGAATATTTTAATGTGTGCACATGCTTCCCTTCATGCTAAACTCTAGTTGACTTTCCTTAACAATGCTTAGGGCCAATTAAGCTCAATTAGTCCCTCATTAAGTCATAATTACACGCATGAAATGGGTCATGAGGAAAGTGGGCCGAAAAATGGAGTTTTGGGCCTTGGAAGCTGGACTGGTCGCGCTGGGCGCTGGGCCTGGGCGCTGGGCACTGGGCCCTGGGCGCGGGGACGCGGGCTGGGCGCGAGGGCGCGGCTGGGCTGCGCGGGAAATGGTGCTGCTCGGGGAAAATGACTTTGGGCTGAGTTGCAAGGGTTGGGAAGGGCTTCCAACACTTAGAAAATTTTAGGGAACTTATGCCAAGGCTTAGGACAAGCCTTGGGCTCGGTAGGCACGTGCTTGGCACGGCACGAGGCGCGGGTGCGGGGATCAGCACGGGCGGCTCGGGTGAGCACTAGGGCTCGGTTAAAATGATCAATACCTATACTTTGATATTATTATCCACTTAGAAAAAAAATATTCTAAGTATAGAAATACCAATACTTGGCTATACTCGGGATTTACCCGAAAATTAACTCGGAACCGAACTAGGGTTCGGAGTCGATTAAATTCTCGAGTTGACTTGCTATTATTTAATAACCCAAATTAATGGATTAATCTTAACTTATACTTGAGATAGAATTATTCAAAGAATAATTTATCATGTTTGAGCATTTAGCATAAATAACATAACTCGATAATTTCTGAAAATTACGGATTTCACTTATAGTCGAGCAGTGAAACCGTTCTCAATATTATTACTGTTTTGGGGCGTTACAATCTACTCTGCGTAGGTTTATTGTTAATTATTCTATTCGTGACTTATACTTAACAAGATCTTCACGGGTCCCAACAACCTACACCCGTGAGGCCGAATTGTAAACTGAGTTCATCGAGATCGTCACGCTGCCTACAACGCTTATCGGCCGACTTCAAAATGATGTTCTACAAGCTGAGCTAAAGGCTCTTAACGGATCCTCCCGGACGAGCCTCCTGAGTAGGACGTCATACCATCTCTAGTCGAGCATACGATAAGCTCTCCACTGACTAATCCTACGTTTTTCAGGATTTTCCTAAGCGTACCCGAGATAGCTTCCGAAGACCCCGATTAAGTCAGCCCACCGTCGAGCAGTCCTGAGTAGACAAGACCCATTCTCAACGTTATAAGATTACCTCAGATACCCTCAGAGAGCACGGACCTATCTAAACATGCCCCGGGTATGTCTGAGGCTAAGATGCCGAACTATAGATCGGTGCCGAACTAAAGCTACAATGCCCTGCGCGGTCTATTTTGTCTTGCTATATCACATACTACGAACAAAGTCATACAGTTGTGGTCGAGCATTAATAATATCGATGAACATTGGGTGGGTAGGTGGGTGGAGGGATGATAGTTTATATAGTATAAGGTGTTCGACTCTCGCTCTGAGATCCTATAGCTCCATTAAGATCGATTAGGTCGATCGAACTGTGGACGGAAACCTATTCAGTGGGGGTCGGAGTGGTCGTGGTTGAATCGACCTGGATCTACAAAGGTCGAACTGAAGTGTATGACCTAAACTAAAGAGTTGAGTTAGCTCGAGGTAGCGAGCTAGAGAGACACATTGGCCGATATACTTTGGCTAAAGAATGGATTCTGATGATCTAGAGAATCTGTATGATATCTTAGGAGAATATCTAATGTCCTCTTACCAATAAATGTTATGAAGGGCATTGTAACTACTCTATATAAGAGATGAGGTATGGTGATCATTATTAATTATGCAATATCATACTTTCAATTTTAACATGGATTGACTTGATCGTTAGAGGTTCTACGCTGGGAATACCCGACGGTTGACAAGTCTCACGACGAGAAAGTCAGGAGGAGTCTCTAAGTAGACCGGTCACTACAAATGGATTTATTTGATAGATTCATATCACTTATTTAATTAAATATTATTTTGTTTATATTGTTTTTTAGAAATGAAATTTCAATTTATAAGCATGTAAGTTTAATACATACGTATGATGTTAATCGTTAAACATGTTTAATAGTTGCGTAAATTGGATACAAAAACTGAACTTTTCCCCAATTATGCAAACCCAATTGTCACTCGCACCACTTTCCTTATTAATGCAACTCTGTCGAAGGCTCATCTTCTTCAGCTACAGAAGGTCATTTTCGTCAATGGCAACTTTCCCTTCCCCGGCCGCCGTGACCACCAAGTCCAGACTGAAAGGCGTGGTGTTCGATATGGACGGGACTCTAACTGTCCCCGTGATCGACTTCCCGGCGATGTACAGGACAGTTCTCGGCGAGCAGGAGTACGTGAGAATCAAGTCGGAAAATCCATCGGGGATTGATATCTTGCACCACATTGAGACGTGGAGCTCCGATAAACAGAAACGGGCCTATGAAATTATTGCGGATTTTGAGAAACAGGGTTTGGATCGTCTTCAGATTATGCCAGGTTAGTTTAGTTTTTTTTTTTCTTTTTATGTGAACACTGAATGAACGCAATAAAATAGCTCTGGCCTCGGTAAGAACTCAAAATGATAAATGCTATTTCCTCATGATATCTGCTTCAACTCGGTACTCAAATTATGATGTTAAATTTAAGAAAATAGATTCTCTCCTTTTTCTTTCAGTAATTCTAAATATGCTTAGCAAGAACAGTGTAGTTAACCGAACTTGCGATAAGTTAGTGCACAAGTACAAAATTCTTTACATAAAGGTAAAAACATCTTGTCTCTCAAGCACTAATCGGATTACCCTTTTAATATCATAGCATAGTTATGTGACATTGTGTATTTTGAGAAATTTGGTTGATGAAAGGTGTAAATTGTTATGTTTCTAAGTATTATCATTACATGCAGTTCATAGGCACTCCATCTGTCTCAGAAATTCCCTATTCATAAATTTCATTGAGTTTATTGTGGGTATTAATTGTTGGAATTATGCAAGTCTGAACTGCTAGTGTCTAGAATGGGTTTTTGTGAAATGTTTACTTCTTTGACGGAATAGAACATTGATAACTAAGGGAGTTTTAACAAACCGTGGTCTCTTTGTTTTTGTAAATCTCATCCTTCAAATGAATTTGGAAAACCTTATGAATTCAAATGGAGATTATTGCTTATAAGGGGTTCTAGCTATTGAGTTCCTTGGATGAAGAAATGAAATGATATGAAAGATACTAAATTCATTAATTTTTATAAACACAAGTAGTCAACCAGTTATCAGTTCGAACTTAAATGACCTTTGTCTGAGTGACTCTGGAATTAAAATAAAGAACAAAAGTTTCATCTTTTTATTTTTCCTGATCTCCCTGATTCCAATTATCTGTATAAATCTGTCTGGACTTTTCAGCATTTCGAGTACTTGATGGAGGTGTTATTATTTGGCCCTAGAGACTATTAAGTATTATCCCAGTTCATTTCAATTTTGTTGCAGGTGCTTCTGAACTTTATGGATTTCTTGATTCAAAGAATATTAGGTAATGTTATAGTATGTAATCAAGATTAGCTTAACATCATCTAGTTGTTTTTGAAGCTTATATGGCAAACCGTATATTTGACTGTATTCTGTGTGGCTTTTGTTGTCTTTCCTACTACTTTGTGAGATCTACTAGTAAATTGTACTTGGCTTTCAATTTTTTTGTTGGTTGCTTAACTTGCTTGTACCTTTGGATGTATCTTATATGGATTTTGTTTCAGTTCTCATCTATTTAATGGAATCCACTAGACACGTATTTTTCTTTTAATTGTTTTTGTTACTTTATGTTTTATCTGTACGCAAAACCAGTGGCTCAGTGATCTTTGAAGTTTTAACAGTATGATCTACTTGTACTATCTGGTTTGTTGTTAGGTGATTATTTTTAAGTCAACCTTAATATTTTTGTCTATTTTTATCCTGGGTATGAATAGCTCATGGAAGTGTTAAATTTCCTTTTCTAATGCAACTTTTCAGAAGAGGATTAATCACCAGAAATGTGAAGGATGCGGTGGATTTGTTTCATCGCCGTTTTGGGGTAAGCTTGATAAGTTGCAAGTATATTGCCTTTTTAATTTTTGCCATCTTGGCCCTCCAAGTATAATTGTATCATTTCAAATTCAAATGGAGATTATTGCTTATAATTTGAAATGATTCAATTAACTGAAAAATCAGATTGGTATGCCCTGATGTTAACATTGCAGTTACTTTAGAAATTTTTTGGTTTCATTGTGAACTTTGGTGCAGATGATATTTTGTCCTGCATTAAGCAGGGAGTTTCGTCCTTACAAACCAGACCCAGCTCCTTTGCTTCACATATGTTCAAATTGGGAGGTGCAGCCTAATGAGGTTATGATGGTTGGGGATAGTCTTAAGGATGACGTAAGTTCCTGTTCACAACATTAGGTGTATATCTTTCTGGGTTAAGATATTATAACTGAATCTTTTCCCTTTCCCATTTTGCTTGTTTGTCTTGACCAACTACTTTCTTCCTCTTATTTATATATATTTTCAATCAGTTTTTTTACTAATAGGTATTGCTGAAGTTTAGTTTAATCGCCAAAAGAAAATACCAAAGATAATAAATAAATATTAACAGACGTGAAATCTTAAATCTGAAAGGTAATTTTTGCAATCATGTCCCTATTAGCTTTCTTCCTTTGTGATGAACAAACCTAGTCATCAAGCTCTGCCTCATTTCCTCAAATTTATGAATATCTGCATAGGTGGTCTGTGGGAAGAGAGCTGGAGCTTTTACATGCTTGCTTGATGAAACGGGAAGGTACGATTCTCCACAATACCAAAATTTCGAGTATAAACCAGATTACAAAGTCTCTTCTCTTGTCGAAGTTCACAAACTCCTGGAGAAAGATTTCAACCTTTCCTCGTAATCTCATAGACTGAAAGCTTTAATCCCTTCTGTATCTGGATACATTTTGTGGTCATACTACATTACCGTTGTTAGGTGATATATATGCTATCGATGTTAGGATAAGATAGACTTATATTTGGGGCTGGCTTCATTCTTATGTTCAGCTGGCTGAATCAAGTTGTGCCTTCCAGAGTTTGAACTAATAATTGTCAGGTTGGAAAGAAGAAGTAAAAAAACATATTGTATTCAATTGAAACGGTTAAAACCTTTCACGACTTTTTAAAGTGAGTCACTTTTATATAATTTGTGAAACTTTATTGATCTTGATGGACTTTCTAAGATTTTCATATGATTCTTAGACTTTTAAAATTTTCATCTTTACCTTTTGAAACATTTACATATTTATACTATAACTATTACTCCCTCCATTTTTTAATAAGTGCCGTTTTGAAAAATTGCATAGTAATTAAGATTTTTTTTTTTCCAATAATAATCCTCATTAAGGAGGATAGAGATGGATGTTTTGAGAAAAGATGAAGAGTGAATATGAAAAAACGTAGTTATTTATTAGCTAGATGAAGGTAATAATGGAAAAATATATAGAAAAGATCCGAAATGTTATTTATTTTGTTAATTGTTGATAAAACCAAAATGACATTTAAAAATAATGGAGATAGTACATTTGAATGAATATTAATGAATCTTGCACCATAACCAATATCAACAAAATCAAGCTAGTTTTTTTTTTTTTTAATACTAAACTGAAATGAGTTGTGATAGTACACACCAACTATTCAATAAGTAGAAAGAAAAAAAGAAAAGTTTTACAGCATTACAGTTGTGTAATTAAGAGATGAATAAATAATCCTCTAAAATTGTGAATCAACCATAAAATTGTTATTTGACTTAGTTATTCGCGAACACAACTCGGTTATGCTGATGAAAGCTCAAACCCACCCTATGTTTTCTTAAATGAATCGAGATTGAACAACTAATCGAGCTTGTCTACTAAACGAATGAGAGTGAGTTTGTTCACGAACTACTCAATTTTTAATTATGTATTTTTGATAAAATAAACAATCCTGACGAACTTGTTTGTATAACACTTTGTTTTCACAAATAACTCGTTTAGGCTTTTATGTTTAGTAAATTAATCAAGTTGCTCAAAGCTTTTGCGAGCTACAACGAGTTGAACTCGAGTTGAGCATTATATTCGTTTATTAAACGAGTACAAGCTCAAACAAAGTTACTCTTCTCAAATGGAATGACACTCATAATCAACCTGAGCATGACATATTTATGTGATTACTGTTGAACTTTATTTTGATTTTTTTTTTTTTTTTGCATCATGTTGCAGGATTAAAAAAAATATTATTAAGATATATGTTTTACAAGACACAAACATTGTTATAAGGGGTTGATAAAGTAATATTCTTAGCATGTGCAAACTATGTAAATATTAGACTTTTAAAAAGTTAAATTCAAAACCAAACAAATACAACAACAACAACAACATACCCAGTATATTCCCAACAGGTTGAGGTATGGGGGTCAATTGTACGCAGACCTTACCTTGTAATTATACAAGGAGGCTGTTTCCGTAGCGACCCTAGGTGCATTGCGCCTTTTGATATATTCAAAAGCAAACAAATGAGAGGATAAAAATAAACCTACAATAAAATAACCAAATAAAAAATAAATAAATGAAAAAATCACGATAAGCATTTGTGATGGAAAAACAAGTTAGACATGTTGTCAAGTCAAATGAGTACAATAATTGAGTATGAAAGTAATATAAGATATATAATTGTGTACATTAAATCCTATAAAATAAGTTAAAGAGTTACGTAAGTCGAGTAAAATATCACCAGTTTGATGAGTTTTGTATGGGACTTGGCCTTTGTAATTTTATTAAAAAATATCCAAAAGTCTTTCAATTTAAAAAGTCCCATAAAGTCATTCTACTTTGAATAGATGGTGACTTACAAAGACTTTTATAAAGTTTTAATTGAATACCTTAAGACTTTTAGATATTTATAAAAAGTCTTTAAAAGTCTGAATTGAATATTGATAAACGTTTTAAAAGTATAAAAAATTTCAATTGAACACACTAGAAAAGTCTAAAAAACTCTTTATAAATTGCAATTGAACACACTCTTAAGTAGCGTCTACTCAGTTTAAAATTCCCTAGTCAGTTTTCTTTGCCTAAGATAAACTTGAAATATGATTAAACTGGAAAAATGCATCGTGATGTATATTTAAGAAAAAAAAAATACGCAAGAGTGTGGAAAACACATCACAAATAAAAAAAAAAAAAAATCTATTTTATTTCAAGTTGGTACTTTCTTATGATCTTAAACATTGCAGATGATATCTTTACCTAATTCCTCACCTACATGTATACCATGTCCAATCTATAAATTTTGGCATATAGAGGATGATGAAATATACACATTCTCTCGTTGAGAGCAATTCCTTATTCTCTCGTTGAGAACGATTATTCTTTGATTTTGATTCAGTGCTTTATCGATCCTCTATAATTTGTTCTTGATCCTCATCATTTCAGTAATTAGTCTCTCTTTCATGTAGCTTATTCTCTGATTTCATCCAGTCGGAACTAGGGTTTTGGTCCTTCAGTTATGGAGGAAAGGCTTACAGCCACGCAGGACGACGATCTTGTTAGTCGACTCCAGGACTTCTCCCTATCAAACCGAGAATCAGAAATCATTGACATTGCTAAGGAGGATATTTGAATCAGTGCAGATGAATGCCAACGCAGCCTCTTTGGCAAGATTGTTGGAGACATAAATGCTAGTTGGATTGGCGTAAAGCGAGCTATGAGTAATATCTGGAAGCTGTCTCAATCAATGGAAGTATTGAGGCTAAACTATTTTCAGTTCATCTTCCAGGGCAAGGAGGATATGAAGAAGGTGGCAAGAGGCACAAATTGGAGCTTCGAAAATCAATATTTAATACTGCAAGAGTGGAATAATCAAATTTCAAGTAAGCATTATGGCTTTGATGATCTTCATATTTGGGTACAGGTGTTAAATGTACCCCTTACCTGGTTAAGTACTGAAGTTGGTCTAAAGGTTGGTCGAATTTTCAAATCGGTTGACAATGTTGTTATTATTAATTCGGGTAATCACGGAGGCAAAATTTTGAGATTACTAGTTACTCATAATTCTCTTAGAGCCAATTCCAAGAGTTGCTAGTATCCGTTTGGGAGACCAATTAGTTAATGTTAGTTTTAGATATGAGAAACTAGTGAACCTCTGTCACTATTGTGGATTGAGTGGGCACCTTGACCGTAGTTGTGCTAAACGTATAAGTGATATTAAAAATCATACTCTAAAAAAAGGTCAATACGGGGATTGGCTCAAGGCCCCTGAAGGACATCGATGGGTTGAAATTAGCCCTTCAAGGTCCAAAAGCCCACCCCACTCTCAGTCTCAATTAGACACAGATCACAGGTCTTCTCAGCGAGCCTCATCTACTCAATGAGCCACAAATCAGCATCTCGTTCCCTTTACTAAGGAACCACCTCAAACTCCAAACCCTGAAGCTATGGCCTCTCTCACCACAACCCACATCTGGTAAAGTTGGTACTTTGAAAGATAATGTGCCAGCCCAGACAGCAGAGGTGCACAAGGGACTATTAACAAATCAAGAATACTCCTTGCCCATTGAAGTCTCTTCTTCAGCTAAAGGTATGGGAGCTACTAAGAAATGGAAGAGAACAAGGAACAAAGTAGGAAGATTGTAGAGGGAAACTGCTATACCTATTGATATAGATTCATCCATTGGGCTTAAAAGAACCAGATTGAATACTGAGGAAGAATTGGTTAAAACCAGTGATGTGCAAATTCAACAAACAAACAACAAGAGAATTAAATCACAAACTGAGAAGGTGGAGGTTGCTAGCCTAGAGTGGCACCCACGTGAAGAATGCTAGTTGTGGTGTGGAATTGTAGAGGGCTTGGTGGGCCCTCTACAATTTCCCAAATCCGAGAGTTAATAAAAACACACCACCCCTCTTTTTCTTTTTCTTTCTGAAACCAAAAACCAACAGGCTTTTGTTAAATCAGTGGGCAGGAAATTGGGTTATGAAGACAGGTTTGATCCCTTAGAGATTAGTGGAGGTCTCCTTCTTTGTTGGGATACTCAAATTCAAATCCAGCAATGTATCAAAAAATCTTTTTATATTGTTGTGGAGTTCAAGTTTATAGCTCAAACCTATCAGTGGGGTGTGTTTGTAACACCCCGCTTATCAGAGTAATTTTTTCGCAACTTTTATTTCGAAATTACTTATAACTCTTTCGAAATCTTTTTGCGAATAACTCGAGATGCTACTTAAACTCCTTCTTTCTAAAAAATCTATTTAACTTTAACTTTGTCTAATTATTTATTTTAGACATAACAAAACAGATTTATATATATACTTGCATTTAACTATATCATGTTCATATTTATGAAATGATAAAAACTTGAAATCTGAATTTATTTAAAATGCAAGTTCACATATTAATAAGCGTAGCGGAATTACTTAAAAACGTGAATAATTATACAGACTTATTTCATTTATTACAAATGTCCTTTGAAATGAGTACTCGACCATCACCACCACTTTATTTGCTCACACCTCCGGCCCGACCCTGTTACCTGAAAAACATAATGGGGGTGAGTACTGGTCCTTTTGTACCCCGTTAATACCCATACTAAAGTAAACATCAATAATAATACAATATCATGATCTTTGGTATATATATAATAACTGTAACTTAATCTGGCCGATATATTATCGGATACTTGTGCACAATCTGATGGATATTTCTAAGGCACGTATCGCCTCCATCAGAACTTAGGATATAATCTTCGAGACAAATTAATGCCTCCTCATCCCAAGCGTATAAACTTAAACTGTATACATACCTCGAACATGATAACAATATTATACTCAATGTAATACCCAGTCTGGGTCCCCACCTTTCTCCTTTGAAATCGTAAGTGTTGGTCTCGAGTAGCTAACTCTTCAAGCTACATAAAAATACGTAAACAAATATACTAAGTACTATGCTCGTATACTCGGATTTTCAACTCTTTCGGATAAATCATCCAAATCTTATAAAATCTCAATATTCTTGTTATGGTTCAAACTTTTCTTGATCTTTTACTCAATCAAATACTTACTCATATTATTTCTCCCAAATCTTATACATATGGCTTATACTCATTTTTCACTTGATTATCTCGAAAGTGAAAAATAACTCAAATCATACTAAACTTTTCATCATAATATTAATATGTGAGATTTACAACAATCTTT